GTCCTGCCGTAGCAGATTCCTACTCCTTACTGTCCCGAGTCCCTTTTACCTGAGATCATGGAGGTAGGGTGGGGGAGGGATTGCATGAGAGAGAGAAGAGGGGGCTCTTCTCTTATTCCATGCTTGGGATAATCAGACGTGGAAAGAATATTTTAGATGTGCACATGGGCGCGCACACACACACACACGCACACACACAGGACTTTGGAGGGAGCATGGTAATCAGATTTACCATGAAACTCCAAAATACCTATAATAAACTAAAAATACAGCTCACTTTATTGTGGAGATGTAATATTCTCCTAAATGTAGAATTCTATACAATACTGTTTTAATGCAGTTTTATCCTAATGATAAGCATCTACTTAGTGCATCATAAGTAAATAATGGTTTTCCATAAAAAATGAAAATGTTTCAGCATAGCATATGGGAAACCACCCAGCCACAACTTGAGACGTTATTAATATCTTCCTTTTGTCTCTAAAGATAAAATCAGCCAAGAATGGGCCTGGTTTATGATTCATACTTAAGAAAGGGAAGATAAAATAGCTTGGCCATTATTTGGAATGAGCTGGGAAATAGTAAAGACTCTGGTTTAGAATTATATTCTGTTTTAATTCAGCTAGGAATGAGAAACTGTAGTTCATTTATTTTAATGTTTGCCTCCCCCCCATTCAGTCTTATAACTCTTGTTTTCAGAATGAAATAGCATACATTTGAGATAACTTTGCCACAGACACCATATCCTGTACATCCTGGCAACACCTAAATAGAAAATCCCCGTGTTACCCTGCAGACCACCTAGCCCTGGCCCTAAGCCTTCTTGCAAACAGCCTTATATTAATTATAAGAATATCTTGTAACTAATAATCACACAATGGAAGTTAGAAATACTTTGTTTATCCTCCTTAATACCGGAAAAGTCCATTTCACAATTGAAAGTAGCTTATTTTAAATGGACAGATTCCATACTCTCTGAAAACCCGAAAAGCTATTGTTTGGGCTCATCCACAGAATGATATACACTTTTAGAAACTTTATGAGACCATTTCAGTATGCTCTCTTAGTATCACATGACTCAGCAGTGAAGAAAAATTAAAGGCATAAAAACAGTCCTAACATCAATTCTGCCTTTCAAGTTTATAATTCCAAGATGTGGGAGCAATCTATCATTTTAAATACCACTGACCATGCAAAGTCCTATCACATCACATTGAAATAAAGTAGACTTCATTTAGCCCACTTTTTTTTCTGGGGTACTCAATAAAAAAACCTGACAGACAGATAATTTTTTACAGCAATGTTATTCAATCTGTTTTCTCTAAGCATTCAATCTTTGGGAGTTAACCAAAATAAGAATTAAAATGGAGTCAGTTAACCAAATGTGACATGAACAGCTCTCTACTTTCAAAGAGAAGAGGAGTGTGTGGACCCCTCTCCGCGGACGATAGCCTAAACACCGGGGAGACCTACCCACAAGGCCTCTGCTCTTACAGAAAATGGTTGCTTCCTATTTGGGGCTGACAGATACGCAGTTTCTGAACAGCCTTTTTAAAATGGCAACAGGCCAGAATCTCACTAGTAACTAAGAGCAGTCTCCTCAGATATCCAGCCCCATATTCTTCTGTCTTTTCAGGTATTTGCAACTAAAACCACAAAAACAAACAAACAAAATCATAAAAGCATTTATCAGTGAATACCACTGCTCTGTGTTGCCAGGCCTGAGAAATAGAAAAGTTATAATTAAACCAAGTATCCAGAGCCCTAAGGCAGTACCCTAACCTTTGGCTTCTATTCGAAGCCAGGCGGAGGTAAACAGAAGTCGTCGGGATCCGAGAAGAGCTGACCTCAGATTGTCTCAGAGTCAAGAGCAAAGGGCAAAGGCTAACAAAAAAAGAAGTTGCTTTCTATTAAATGATATAGCAATGATAACATCATCTAAGGCAAAGAATCCATACGCCATCTAACTGATGTTCTTTTTAATTTGTTCACTTTTAAGAGATGATGATTAAGTTAGGCTTAATGATAGAACTCTAAAAATTACTGAGCAGTATCTTTCTCAAGTGAGACAAAAATAGCGGCAGGGCAGCCTGAGAGCGTTCAAGCCACTCCCATGTGGTTATTGTTACTCGCTCCCTTTCACCCTCTTACGATGTCGTTTTATTAAGAGGAAGAGTCTATCAGTTGGAGACGTTAAGTGACTGGCACACAGTACCACGGCTGTGGTGGAACGGAGCAGTCCGTCATTGGACTCTCTCGCCAGTGCTCTTATGGGGAAAGAACGAAAGGGAACTGTTTAACATAGATACAACTTACTTTCAAAACTTCCTAAACAGTTTCTGTGATTCTTCCATGTTGCAGTTTCAACAACATCCATAATTTCAAAGCGTATTGAGAATACCCCTATAGAGCTCAAGAGACTATTTATTAAAAAAAAAAAAAAAAAACCAAAAACTAAATAAGCTCTGGCTAAGTTGAAATTACACAGGAATAGACTTCAGGGTCAACATAAAGATTGTACAACAATTAAAACTGGTCCAGAAGTGGGAGGAAACTGGCTCAGATCCCCAACATCAGAGTCGCTCAAGTAGAAATGGAAGAGCCTCCCACTTTGAGAGTCTAAGAATCCGTGTCATGTCCTGGACCATCTTTAGCAAAGCAACCGAAGAATTCTCTTACACCTCTTTGAAGTTGCAGATACTTAATAAGACTGGGGAGAAATTCATTCCCACAACCTCAATACAAGCTCATCCGGTTTTGGAATTAAATAAGTCACTTCTTCAGAAAAAGCTGCTTTTTATCACATTCTGTCTACACTGTGAGATAGAAAGATATTTAAGGAAAGCACTTCTCTTTAAGAACCACAGAGCTAAAGATAGACGCAGGTCTTGTATGCCTCCCTGTACAGACATTTAAAATTACATACTGACGTCAAACTTTTGGCAAGGTACAAATCTGACAAACTTCGCTGGGTTGTAAAAGGAATAAAACAGCAAAAGGGAGGCACATGCATGTAGAAGGACTTGCTTTTTTTTTTTTTAAGAACAACACGTATGCTTCCCCACCTAGATGATAAAAATTGATCCATGTAATCTGGTATCCCATGGTGTTTCAAGATAAAATACGTGAGAGGGTGATTTTTAAGAGCCCCTAATAACACCAGCAACTTCTGTTGCTACTTCATTTATTTTTCATTTTTGTCCTCATCACAAATAGCAATCCACCTATGCTCTGAAGCTTGAAGACTGCACAGCCCACTGGAGTTTTACCCAATCCACGCAGTGTCCCCACAGTTATTCTAATTCATAGACTTTCACATCATTTTGGAATACAAAGATATGTCCTTCAAAACTCTGTCATTTAGGTGACTTCCATGGATGAAGTAGGTGTTTTATTTTAAAAAAATGTACTTTTTTTTCTACTTATAACAGCTTCACAGTTTCCAAATGTATTACAGGAAAAAAGGAAATTTCCTATTTCTGTATATATATTCTTTGGAATTTATAGAGTGTAGTGGATAAAAGACTGGTTTGTCAAAATAGCCAATTGTGGAATATTCTTTGAAGATAATGAAGTTTCCCAAGTAAGAACATGAGGACAAACACGTATATTTGTAGTTGGAGAAGCATTACTCTGCCGGGGTCTGCATCATGTAACTTCAAGGGGATCAAAGCTCAGAGGGTGATGGTAACAAACGTATGGTGTAGAACCTTCCATACAGTGTTTTTTCCCTGCACATTTTCATAACGGCCATTAGAGTAACGATTACCCCATCCTTCATTTCGACGTCTCTGGAATATATTGTGACTACCCAAGGTTCCAAAGTACATCCATTTTCTCACCTGATGTCGTTTTACTTGATAAAGAATTTTAATAAATTACCCAAAGTTAAATAACAATAGCACATGATCTTGTATGGGTTCAGGCTCATTCTCGGTCTCCACTTTCCTTCATGTCTCATGGAACTCAATCAGTTGTCTGGTATTTGATCTTTTTTATGGGAGCCAGTCACTGAAATTATGCCAAAGGGTGACTAGGAATGGACTCTAAGCTCGGTTAACTAGACGGTAGTCTCAAAAAAGATAAAGTCGTTCAAAGAAGAAGAAAATCGTATCAGATGCCATGTAAATGAAAAGGAAACAAATTCAACAAGTCCTACACACCAAGCGCATGTAGATGAATTTATTTGCCCCAACAAATCCTTGGTTCTGGTGTTACTGTCTTCACCTGGTCAGATGCTGCCGCTGAAGCTCAGAGGGAAAAGGAGCCCATCATTCTCTCCTCCCCAAATCCATGCTCCTTTCATGTGCTGCCTTCCTTCTCTCCAGAGATACTAGAATCCCTACTTAGCTAGAGGTACATCATGGAAGAAAACAGCTCTGTCTCACCTGTGATTCCCTGCTTTGAAAAAATAAAGTACCTAGTTTCCAATAATATCCCATTTTCCCCAACTTTCCTAACCCTCCCCTTTTATGACCCCTTAGGGTTGGTGGGTTTTTTTTTTCATTTTTGCAGTAACTCTTGTTAATACCAGATTTAGTACTGCCCCCAACATGGTGTTGGCTTGTAGCACTATCAGTTTGCCCTCAAAAACACCAGGAACATCAGGGAAATGGGTTGAGAACACCACAGCATGCCTCTGTCTTTTTAAGGAGCTCCAGGTGCACCCCCACCATACGCTCTCCATGATTCACAACAGCGGATGAAAATTACCCACGTAATGCGCTTACAGGAATTCCTCTGTTCTACATCAGGCTTCAGTTCATTGGAGCTCTGACAAAGTAGACTGATTAGTTTTGTCCCTCTTACACAGAGACTGTTCATTCCCCTTTGGCTTAATCCTTAAAATGAATTTTAAGCTCATTTCAATGAATGCCCCGGTGTATCAGACAGTTGGTAGTGTCTTGTGAGACCGGAGGAAAGGGTTGGCCAGAACTGAACTTGACTTTAATACAAGACCATGTTCTATTATTGTTTAACTTTGGGTATTTCTCCCCTAGGAGGAGGACAGAGGAGAACTAACCAGCTCCAGGACCAAGGTAAGAGGGGAGTTTTCTTTCAAAAGAATGGGTTCCATCCATTTGAAGGAAACCCCTCCCCCACCTATTTTTCAATCCCTTTTTCTTTGTACATTTATATTTTTTAACCCACGCCTTAGGAAACCAGCTTGCCACTTGTGCGTAGTAGTGACTTGAACATCCCCTCACAAATGTTACAGCAGGAAAAAGTAAACACTGTCACACAAGTCATATCAGTTATACGCTAATGCGTTTATGTTTTCCATCATCATTATCGGTGCCGGTCTTCCATTAAGGATCAGTCCTTTTGCATAGGCCTTAAGAAATTGCCGTCAGCTGTTAATTTCTCTCTGTAGAATATGGATGGTAACTGATAAACTATAATGGGTAATGGGGTTACAAAAATATTAAAATTAAAATCCAAAGTGTTTCTGTAGAAAATACACTATTCTTAAGAAATTTTTTATTTTAAAAAAAATTTTTATTAAAAGAAGCAGCTGATAGAATGTAAATGATATGTAATTTGGGATATGCACAGGCTAGACTCTGGGTGTGCAGCAGTTTAGACTTGATGAGATGTTTAAGGTGCCATATGAAACCAGGAACCGGATAGAAAAGGGAGGAAGGGGAGTTGACCCTGTCCTGAGCAGTGTTTCTCGTGCTTAGCGAGCCTTCCCGGGCATCGCTCCCAAGTGGTTTCCATTGTTACCACTCACCTTCTGTGTTGTTGTCCCTGGAAGTCATCAGTATTCCCTGTTTTTGGTACTCTGTGTCACATTGGTCCTTCCAGGGGGTAGAAATCCCAGGCGAGAAACAAGTGAGAGAACCTAAAAGCATCCAGAATTTGAGATATTAGAAGAAAGGTGGAATCCAGCGGGGTGGGGGGCACGAAGGGACAGCGTCCGGACCCTCTGCAGCAATCCTTCTGTTGTCCTTGCCCTCCAAGGAGGCCAGGTCTTGTGATTCAAGTAGATTTTAGGGAAGCCTGAGGCTCAGACGACTGAGCTACTTGAGGCTCAAGCAGAAGAGAATCCTAGGAAGCAGGGGAAATGTGCATAAAGAAGGCGAATTCAGGCCATTTGTTGCCAATAAATAATCATCATCTTTTAGAAACACGGTTCTGGGCGTTTTGTTACAAGCGTGTTTAGAATCACCTTTAGGTTGGATTGTCAGGGTTTATTTAATGAAAGAAAATCACTTCAGACGGATCTGTTTTTGTGGGAGACTGTGGTCTAAGGATCAGAATCCACAGTAGCCATGCGACTAGGAACGTCCGCGAGGGGACGCGCGTGAGATGGGAACTTGGTTTTAATGCCAGCAAACGCGAGTTTTGTAGATACTGCTATTGCTTAGTGGTCACCAAGCACAGAAACCTAAGCGCCGGACTTTTAGCAGATGATGCGTTTTGTTGTCAGAAGTCAGAGCCTAATTTTGACGCTCTCACTCCCTGCCTCCCTCAGTGACAGGCTCAGGATGTATTGGAGGCACCTGATTCACTCCTGCATTTTAAGATGCCAGGTGTATGGTTTGCCTAAGCAGCTGCACACAGGGTTCCGCGAACCGTGTACGTGTGAGAATTTGGTGTCCACACCGACGTTAGGTCTGTCAGGCAGATCTGTTGTGTGATCTGAATTTTATGAAATCGTTCATGGTGATCTCGTTCAGGGGAAGAATTGGGGGTCGTTCTGCAGTGAATCGGTTCTGTTCGGTAACCTGAACTTGAGATGAAACACCGTTTTCGGTTTTTTGTTTGTTTTGCTTTGTCTCGTTGCTCTGTAAAGTGAAAAATACTGATCTCATATTAATTGCATTCAGTTTATCAGGTATATGACAAATAGTGAATGGAAGCGCCCAGGCTGGTAGCTTAAGAAATACCCAAGTACTTCTGACCAGAAGCAAGTAACTGAAGGGCTGTGTGCTGTGCTCTAGTATTAACACCACTTGAAGCAAATGTAGGTGAACATATTTTCAGAATTTACACTTTTGGGCTTTTTCTCCCATTTAAATTATTTAAGAGAAATAAATGAGAGACTATATTTCTGTTTTGAAATGTGGTTGTGAGCCCTGCTGCCAGCAAAGATAAGCAGCTTTGTGTTTCCCTTTGAAGGGCATAAACTGAAAAGCTGTAAAGACACACAGACTTAGAATTCTTAGGGTTTGGTTGTTTTCAGATAACAGAAGAGCCACCGGTGCTCCTACTTAGGAGGTTCACACAGCTTCTTCAAGTTCCCATTAGCTTAGAATCCCTTCTTCTGGAAGTCCTGTTTTTATCACTCTGTTTCTTTTTCTATTTATGCTGTTCTCCCACCTCACCAAAATCCATGCCAAAAGTTAGGGTAGATGAAGGAAGAGCAGCTAAAGACATTTTAAGTTCTATCCAAATACTAGGCTACTGCGAGGGACTCTGGCACCCTGAATGAAAGAGAAATTGAAACTTTTTTAAGAATTTGGTGGGAAATTGAAAGTATTTGTAAAGATTTACTAGACATATTTAGTGAATTAAGTGCATATTTAAATACACAATAAAATAAATCTTAATCAGGTTAAACCATAGTGTTGGCCTTTAATTATCTGTTGATGACAAATGTAATTAATTTCTCTGATATACTGAATTATACTGTTCTCAGTAAATTTAGTAACAGAATTTTATAAAAAAGACATGTTTTATTTGCTACTGTTAAATAGGTTAGAACAAAATGATAAGAATACCATTATCTGGGATTTAGTTTTAAGTACCTGATTTCACCTGATACAACAAGCTTGTTTCTGATTTTATCAGTTCGTATTTTTTCCTTGCCCTGCTACGCAAACTGAGCTGGTAATCCCTTTATTTTAACCATCTATAATCTCACTGAAATATCATCTTAGGTATTTTGTTTATACGATGGACAAAATCGTTTGCCATCATTCATAAAAATAGCTAGTGTTAGTAATTCTTTTTGTCCCTCTTGCCAATATTTAATAGACAGTTAGGGAGCCCTTTTGCTTTGTTTTATTTTACTTTGTTTTGCTTTAAAACCCTCTTCATAGCAGGTCTTCCCAAAATCCATTAGGTGGCACAGTCAATGGTTCAGGCACAAGATTCTTTCATTTTAATGGGCTGCTTAAAAAGTAGCACCTTAAGTTAATCACGGAGATATCAGCCCTCCAGATAGTTATTGCATGGCTTCTGTAGTTCTCGCCCTGCCTTGGGACTGAGGATGGTGTAAAATACCGTAAAACAGAGTCGCTGTGCTCCACAGGAAAAGACCGTACAGAGATAGCAACACTGTGAAGTGATGTGGGACTCCAAGTAATTGGGAGCGCTGCAGACAATAGATAATTTAAAGAAGAAGGAGATCACTAGAGTCTTAGAGTATCTGGGAGAGACCTAATAAAAAAGGTTCACATGTACTAGTTGATAAATATTAGTTGAATGAATAAGTCCATGAGTGATTATTGGAAAATGGAAAGAACTTTAGAAAAGCTAAGGGTGAAAAACGAAATTTCCGGTGAAGGTTCTGTCATGAGACTGGAATCGACTGCGAATAAAATGTCTCTGGGACTCTTAAGGAATCTAGCCTGGAGGAGGCAGAGAAGGTCTATTTGGGGAATTAGGGTGGTTAAGAGGCTGGGCTTCTGTGGTGGAAGGATCCAGGTTCCAATCCCGCCTTTGCCATTTACCGGCCATGTGGATTCAGTAAGGACTCAGTGAGAATGTGAAGAACTTGGGACAGAGCCTGGCTCAATCAAATGTAATCACGTTATACTTTAAAGGTATACATATAAGCTGAACTGTGAGGAAGCTTTGAATGTCAGGAAAATTAGAACAGAGTCATATGTTGGAGGCAGTCGTGAGTCCCCAAAGGTTTCCAACAAAGCGGTGTAAAGAAGCAGAGAAGCATAGCTGTTCTGACTCCGGGTAGCTGAGAACAGATTGAGAGTCAGTGGATCTTGTCTCAGGTGATAGAGGCTTTGACTCAGGTGTTACCTGTATAATAGAAATGAACATATAAATTTAAGAGACACCTTTTCAGGAAAAAAAAGTTTCTTAATGGCTACTTGGCTGTAGGAAAGGAGTGGAAAATTCGAAGATGAGATTGAGTTTCTGTGATTGGGCTTTGTTATTATTTGTGTTTACCTTTCTACTTCTTCTGTGAAGCATTTTCTGATCCATTATACTGAAGCTTCTTTATAATAACGCGTTTGGGATCCCTCATTACCTGTCCTAAAAAATCAGAACTTAAGTCATTAGGAACCTAGTATGTATAAAAATAGACCTGTCTTATTCCAACCTTAGGAAGGAACAAGTATCACCATCTAATCAAATCAAGTCAACCTAAAGTTTATTGGTACAGCTTTTTAAGAAACGTTATCTACTGTTCTTCCTTCTTGGATATTTAGGAAGGATCAGTTTCAGCTGATAAGACCACAGGCCTCTGAAGTCTTATCTCAAGAAGTATTTAGCCAGAGGGGATAGAAATTGCAGGGAATGTATCAGTCAAAGCTTAATGAGGGATCACCCCCAGCAAGCCTGATGAACCGGGTGGGGGGGAGAAATTCCCCCTTGGAGAGCCATAGTAGGGAGGAATACTTAGTTTAGCTACACAGGAAAGGGGACCCACAGAAAGCGAAGTGATCCTAGCACTGTGGGAAAGAGCACTAGGCCAGGAGACAGCAGACCTCCATCCCGGCTGGGTCTTGGTGAGCAAGGCGCCTAACTTTCCTTAGACCCCAGTGACCACAACCGTCAGATGAGATGGTTTGAGACACCCTCTGACCCCCACTGTGACTCAAAAATGCTACGATTCTAGTTCTTTAAGGCAGTTGATGGAAGTTTTTAACAATGAGCAAAGGAAGGAAAAAAGGAAACTCGGTTGTTTTTTT